AAATACAACAGTTCTATAATAGAAATACATAATATACACAATACACACAAGATACACAATACATACATAGAAGAATATAATACATGCTATATAGTAAGCCTTTTCCTGTAATCACCAGTCACACTGATTCACCTGGGTCCTCTAATAACCGCCTCACCTTATCCTGAATATTCTACCTTGTCTACACTCTCTCTTCTTCAAAAAACAGACATCTCTCTAAAATATGGTCTCAAACTTATTCTATCTTGCAGATCCTACATTTTCCCCTCACTATTGAGCCAATATTTGCTCTCTCTCTCAATTCATTACCTAACCTCTTTCTTGCAGTCATAGGTCTGGAAGTTTCTTTACATGTACCTTTCAAATAGCTGGAAATTTCATCCATCTGAATAATTTTATACCATGTATTGAATTTTGAAATCTGTATTTTTTTCATAATCTTCCTGCAATAACTGATCTTTATCTCTTTGGATCAATTCTTAATTAAATCTCAACCGTCTTATCTTAACCTTGACACTTCTCCAAGGAAAAACCATTATTTCACAAACTTTCACTTTTCCAATCAGATTTATCAATCTCTATGTTTTTATCCATTTCCCAACAAACTTGCTTCAATAACTCATTGACTAATCCTATCCTCAAACTTACATGTCATTTTGCCCATCTCTCTTCTCATGTTTTGCCTCTTTGTCTTCCATCTTACCATGAAACCAGGTGTGAAATAGTCTATTTGCCCCCAAATCCCTGCACCTTATTTTAATTATTCCCAACATACTAATAATGTTTCATAGCGACAAGTTCCTTCTTACCTCTTAAGTGCTTCTCGCAGCCCCCTCCCTTGTGTGTACTTGGCGCGACAGCCCGTGAACGGGCTCAGGCCTGCTGACGACCCCGCGGCCGTGGGTTAAAGCGGTACGTGTGATAAGCACGTAGACACCCCCACGCCGTATTCCGGTCTTCTCAACCTCAGAAGTAACCTTTCTTACAGTCACACAGCAACATAGTGTGAATCATATAATTCTCATCCACATTTTATACACGATCACATGAGCGCTATCCCTCTATAATTTTCTACCTAATTTCTGTTTCGTCTCTTGTACACTGGGAGTTAGGTACTTAATTTGAAGTATAAATTGATGGAAACGAGAAAGAAACACTGTGTAATCAATTAACAGTGAAATTTCGTTCGTTTGAATGCAGGAGCGCCGAAAAAAGATTTTGTTTGTCGTAAAACATACTTCAAAAACAATATATTAATCTCGCCATTCAAGATTTGTGCCCACTTAGTCCAACGCGCAGTCTAGTGGAGCCTAACGCTGGGCCTTAAAGTTGGCTGTGTATCTCCTCGCATCGCAGTCTAGAAAACGTGACTGTGCCAGAATGTGAAGGTCTTGATTTAAAACTCATTGAGTTAATAGTAGCAAGTGTATAAGCGTCAGTTGCATCGAAATAATATCGAACGTATATTCGATTTAATGTATAACGTGAGTATCCTCTCGGGAAGAAAAAATATAGTACTCGTATTATTAATCTCTATTCGTTCCATTTAATAATCTGCCTCGTACTGCAGATGTTGTTTTCATAATTTTGGACGAAATGTGTTGCCGCCTTGGCGTCGTATTAAACGACCGTTCCGATTTGCTCAGTGAGCTTTGAAGCGGGGCTGCTTGTAGGCCGGGGGTGGGGGTCGTCACGCCCCGTTGCTCTGCGCGCCAAATAGGTGAGGACGCCGGTCGGCCTCGCTTCTTCCGCGCCGTTTCCTGCCAGCAGCCAGCCACCGCCCGGCTCTTGTCATGACCGCTGGCCCGGTGCGTTATGTTTGTCTAATGAGTGCGCCCCCCCCCTCGGGCCCCTCGCCGGCGCGC